GATTCTTTAACAGAAATAGCTGTTTTACCGACCACCTGGCAACTTCCTGGAGGGCACTGTCTGGGTCTCCCCCTTGGCTGCAGTGTGAGAAGCATAGGGCTGGGCACCCAACGCAGTTGGTGGGGATCATTTGGGGTACCAAGAGCAGGAAGGGTGAGGACCAAATGCCAGACAGCAGGCAGAACACTGCTCCAGGAATAGGCAGGAGGGCTTTGGATCCCACCCCAGTGCACTTGGAGAGGTGTCTGTGTGACTTCAGCCCTGCCCTGTGATATCACACAGCGTTGCCCAGGTGACCCAGCTGGGTGGAAAAGCTCACTGCTTTTTCTGGTCTGGGCAGAGAGAGGGCCACTCCTGTCTTCACCTCCCTGGGGGTGCCAGGAGTCAATTGCCCAGTTGCTAACCCCTGCCCAGCTGACCATGGCTCAGATCCCCCAAGGCACCTCCCTCCACAGGACTTCTCACTGCTGAAAAAGATCCAGGCCCCTGCCCCCTCCTGTCCACCCTCCCCTCTTTCCCTTGTTTTCCAGGCCCCAGAGCTGGTGTATGGCAGCCCTCAGTCCACACTGAGGCTCCACACTGTTTGCCATCCCCAAAGACTCAGAGGCATCCAGGCCAGCCATCTGGGCAGGACTGATGCCTGGATCACCCAATACCAGGTACTGGTCCCCAAGATTGTTAAACAAGGCCAAACACTCCTGCCCGCAAGATGATGGGAAGGAAAAAGAAAAAGGTGAGACCTGGGGGCATGGGCTGTGCATCTGCATGAACCCAGCCCTCCTTCCAAGTCCCTTGTGTTGTTTGCTCCTGAATCATGACACGAGTTTCCCTTCTCTGGGCCTCAGTTTTTGCAGCTGTGCAATGGGGAGTGAGGTGGTCTCCGTGGCTCTTCCAAGTTAAATGTCCTATGCCATTCGGCCATGTGGGAGCAGAAATACATGGCTCACAGGTGGTGTCACTCTGACTGCCCTTCCCTGGGTTGTTTCTGCCCTCTTGTGGCTGGGGCCACACAGGCTCTGAGAGCCCACTGAGGGGGCCCATCACCCCCTCCAAGGTCTCCCAGGGGATTCCCAGACCGCTGCCCTAGCCATGCTGTCACTCCACTGCCCCCACACTCTCCCAGCCCTGACCCTGACCTTCTGAGGTCCAGACCCTCTGTCCCAGGACACAGAAACTCAAATCCCTGGAGAGAATTAGGTTTTTGTCTGTTTTGATCACTGCTGTATCCCCAGCACTCAGAACAGTGCCTGGCACATAGTAGGTGCTTAATTAAAGGCTGTTGCAGAGCGGCAAGGCCCTGCCAGGGGGGGACTAGAATCTCAATGCAATGAAATACAGTTCAATATGAGGGCTTCTCTACCTTCCACTAACTGGCAAGGCTGAGCCCATGCTCTCGACTGTGTCACTTACCTGCGGGGATAGCAGAAAGAGCTAAGACCAAAGGCACACAGGTACCTGCTAACTGGGAATACGCTCTTTGCAGCTACACTCTTAAGTTAAATAAGCCAAATAGCTGCGGATGCCCAGCCAGGCCCCAGTGTGGTTTCCATGCTTATTACCTTTGATTTTGATACCTCTGGTTCCTGGTGTTCTCTGCCCACAGCCAACCTCTCCCCAGCGTCCAGCCCCCCACCCCCTTTTAAGCCTCCTCTGGAATGTCACGTACTCAGGACCAGGCACGAGGCTGGCTTGACCTGGGGGCCCTAAGCTGCCAGCCAGTTCCCACCTGCCCACCAAGCTGGATTTGGGCATCCAGGGAACATGTTTGGGAGCCTGAGAAGGAGCTGGAGTTGTTTTATTTAATTCATAGCTTTGGGAAACATTTTTGATAGCTGGGTAGAGTCCCCTATAATGATGTTCATAATGTGTATATATATATATATATATATANGAAAGAGAAATACCGCATGTCCTCACTTATTTGTGAGAGTTAAAAATAAATAAATAAATATACAAACAAACGGGGTGGGGGGGAAGAAGACACACAACAATCACAACAATTCCTTGAACTTAAGTGAACAGATATGATGTTGATGGGGGGCAGGGGGGAGAGGGAGGGAGGAAAGAGGAAGAGGTAAAGGGACATGAAAATCAACTACACTGTATATTGATAAATTAAAATAAATAAATAAATAAATTTAAAAATATATATATCAAATGTAAAGAAATATATATATATTTTTTGCATAATTCCTTTTTGCCAGGTAATCTAACATAATCATGGTCACAATATCTCATCATAGTCATGGTCTTGAAAATTAGGGTGGGACCTCATGGAATTCTGTGTACTACATGCAAAATAAATAAATATATAAATAAATAAATGAACAAATAGGAGATTATAGGTACCCAAAGAGTCAGGATAGCTGCAGATTCTTTAACAGAAATAGCTGTTTTACCGACCACCTGGCAACTTCCTGGAGGGCACTGTCTGGGTCTCCCCCTTGGCTGCAGTGTGAGAAGCATAGGGCTGGGCACCCAACGCAGTTGGTGGGGATCATTTGGGGTACCAAGAGCAGGAAGGGTGAGGACCAAATGCCAGACAGCAGGCAGAACACTGCTCCAGGAATAGGCAGGAGGGCTTTGGATCCCACCCCAGTGCACTTGGAGAGGTGTCTGTGTGACTTCAGCCCTGCCCTGTGATATCACACAGCGTTGCCCAGGTGACCCAGCTGGGTGGAAAAGCTCACTGCTTTTTCTGGTCTGGGCAGAGAGAGGGCCACTCCTGTCTTCACCTCCCTGGGGGTGCCAGGAGTCAATTGCCCAGTTGCTAACCCCTGCCCAGCTGACCATGGCTCAGATCCCCCAAGGCACCTCCCTCCACAGGACTTCTCACTGCTGAAAAAGATCCAGGCCCCTGCCCCCTCCTGTCCACCCTCCCCCCTTTCCCTTGTTTTCCAGGCCCCAGAGCTGGTATATGGCAGCCCTCAGTCCACACTGAGGCTCCACACTGTTTGCCATCCCCAAAGACTCAGAGGCATCCAGGCCAGCCATCTGGGCAGGACTGATGCCTGGATCACCCAATACCAGGTACTGGTCCCCAAGATTGTTAAACAAGGCCAAACACTCCTGCCCGCAAGATGATGGGAAGGAAAAAGAAAAAGGTGAGACCTGGGGGCATGGGCTGTGCATCTGCATGAACCCAGCCCTCCTTCCAAGTCCCTTGTGTTGTTTGCTCCTGAATCATGACACGAGTTTCCCTTCTCTGGGCCTCAGTTTTTGCAGCTGTGCAATGGGGAGTGAGGTGGTCTCCGTGGCTCTTCCAAGTTAAATGTCCTATGCCATTCGGCCATGTGGGAGCAGAAATACATGGCTCACAGGTGGTGTCACTCTGACTGCCCTTCCCTGGGTTGTTTCTGCCCTCTTGTGGCTGGGGCCACACAGGCTCTGAGAGCCCACTGAGGGGGCCCATCACCCCCTCCAAGGTCTCCCAGGGGATTCCCAGACCGCTGCCCTAGCCATGCTGTCACTCCACTGCCCCCACACTCTCCCAGCCCTGACCCTGACCTTCTGAGGTCCAGACCCTCTGTCCCAGGACACAGAAACTCAAATCCCTGGAGAGAATTAGGTTTTTGTCTGTTTTGATCACTGCTGTATCCCCAGCACTCAGAACAGTGCCTGGCACATAGTAGGTGCTTAATTAAAGGCTGTTGCAGAGCGGCAAGGCCCTGCCAGGGGGGGACTAGAATCTCAATGCAATGAAATACAGTTCAATATGAGGGCTTCTCTACCTTCCACTAACTGGCAAGGCTGAGCCCATGCTCTCGACTGTGTCACTTACCTGCGGGGATAGCAGAAAGAGCTAAGACCAAAGGCACACAGGTACCTGCTAACTGGGAATACGCTCTTTGCAGCTACACTCTTAAGTTAAATAAGCCAAATAGCTGCGGATGCCCAGCCAGGCCCCAGTGTGGTTTCCATGCTTATTACCTTTGATTTTGATACCTCTGGTTCCTGGTGTTCTCTGCCCACAGCCAACCTCTCCCCAGCGTCCAGCCCCCCACCCCCTTTTAAGCCTCCTCTGGAATGTCACGTACTCAGGACCAGGCACGAGGCTGGCTTGACCTGGGGGCCCTAAGCTGCCAGCCAGTTCCCACCTGCCCACCAAGCTGGATTTGGGCATCCAGGGAACATGTTTGGGAGCCTGAGAAGGAGCTGGAGTTGTTTTATTTAATTCATAGCTTTGGGAAACATTTTTGATAGCTGGGTAGAGTCCCCTATAATGATGTTCATAATGTGTATATATATATATATATATATATATATAGTATTACATATTCATATTTCTTCTTTTGTGAATCCCCAGTTCATGTCTTTTTTGTCAGGACAATATTCATAGATTTCAGTGCTCTTTGTGTATTAGTGATCTTAATCCTTCTATATATATTGCAGATATTTTCTCCTATTTGTCTTTTCTTTGTATTGCTGTGAATTTGGGCCATTATAGAAGTTAGTATGGATTTTTTAAAACGTAATCAAACCTATCAATCCTTTATGATTTCTGAGATTTTTGTCATTTTTTGAAAAGCCTCTCTGCTCCAAATACTACAACTCCTCTTACTGTTACCAATGAATACTCAGGTTATAAGCCCAAGCGGGTACACATTGGGGCCCAGAGAATGAACCCCACATCTAAAGAAGCATGGTTAGGTTAGAGCAGCGGCAGCAAGATCATGGAGTCAGACAGACCCTGGTTCCAGTTCCGGCTCTGCCCCCGTAGCTAAGCTGTGTGCTTCAGTTCAGACTCTCTGAGTCTCTTTCCTCACCTGTAAAAGGGCCTTACCCTGGTTATCATACCTCCTGGGCAAGTTTAGATGCTAAAACTAGAAGAAACATGAGGAACCAATTTTAACTCAAAGCCCTTGTGATTCAGCTGGGGAAACAGGCCTACGGGAGTCCAATAACTTGCCCAAATGACAGATCAGGGCCAGGCAGACCCCCGGCCTCCTAGGCCAGTGCCCCCTCCCAGTTCAGTGCTCCCTCCACTGGGCCCGGCAAAGCCTCTCCTGCTGGTGCAGCTTTCAGAAGCAGGACCTTTCTGGTGGGTGGAGCCGGGCTTCTCTGCTTCTCATGGCCTCCCAGATTGCCGGGGAGGAGGGGTGCAAGGGAAGAGGGCGGAGGATGTGAGGATTGGAAGAATCTGTCTCCCTCCACTTCTGTCCCCACCAGAACAAATTTAAGCCTCCCAGCCCCTCCCATGGGAGCCGAATTCAATGGGCCGCTAACTCCTTCACTGCAGGTCCTGTCCTCTGACTCCCACCCCTTTCTCCTCTCCCCATGACACACCTCCAAAAATCCCTGGAGTGATAGGCAGCCCCAGGTCCCCTGGGACATCTGCCGCTAATCCTGGCTTATTGAGGCAAGGCCACCTGTCTGGCTGGGTGAGACATTGGCATGAGCAGCTTCCGGCCTGCCTGAGTGCCAGGCCCAGTGGAGCAGCTGAGTGCTGTGCTCTGGAATCAGGCAGGCTTTGGCACTCACAACCCGCTGCTGCCCACTGGCTGTGTGACCCTGGGCAGAAAAGTTGCCTGCTGACTTCTGCACCCTAGCAATGTTGTGTGGGTTACCCGAGAGTGGCCTGAGAGGCCAATAGTAAGTTCCCAGCTCTGCTCCCAGCCCGGAGGAGACAGTCAAGGAGGCGAGCTCCCTCGCAGAGCTCATCACATCACAGATGGGTTTGTGCGACCAGAGACTGAGGAGGGTTTCACCACCACCCACACACAGCTCACTGCCTCATATGTAACCCAGCACGTGCAATCTCTATTCCCTCATAAATTCTCCAGTGCAGGCCAGGGGTAGGGGTGGGGGAAGGACGTTGGTCCTGATGCTGGGACATCTCTGAGGGAAGCCTGCAGATTCCCACCCACATGTAGGAAGGAAAGAGGGGAAAGCAGAAGGTTGGCAGCCCTGGCCACCATCCCTCCTCTGGGCCTCACCCTTGGCCCCAGGCCCTCCCGGCCCTGCGCTCAGCCTGCCCAGCGGGCACACACCTGCAGGCCTCACCAGGAGGCTCCAGCCCGGCAGCGAGCCTCACACCCAGAAGTGAAGCGTGAGCAGTTCTTGTCAAACCCCTGGCAAGCTTTATTTCCCAGAAGCCTGTCCTCAAGGGAGGGCAAGGCCCAGAGGAGGAGAGGAGGAGGGGCACAACGCGAGGCCTGGTCTGCCGGTGACTAGTTGGGCTCCAGGGAGTCAATAAGAGCCCTCGGACCACTGCCGTGCTTCTAGGCCCTCACTTCTGTGGCCCTGGGGAGCTCGTGACAGGTCCTGTGCCCTCACTGCACCAAGGGGAATTGATCACCTCTCCAAACCTCACTGCAGGAACTTCAAGCACACCAGCCACTGGGAAAGCTGAATCCCAAACCATTCCAGACTTCCCCACTGGCCAGTTGGAAAATTGGGGCTCAGAGAAGTGGCCTCAATTGAGGGCAGAGCTAGGCTGAAACCTAGGCCTCTTGAACCCCCAGCTGCTAGTCTTGCTCCTATAGCACTAACGCAGGAGACCCAAGCTGCTGGGGAGTGGCGTGGGCTGCAGTGGTGCGCACTAGAAAGCAGGCAGTCTGACATGGGGAGGGAGAGGCTCTTTGGCTGCCTTCCCCCACTCCCCCTGGCAGCGGTCCCTTCCCCTGTCCCAACTTTTGCCCGGCAGGGGAATAGGGGAGGGGCAACTCTCATCAACACCTCTGTAGATGGTGACAGGCCCTGCTGGGTCCTGAGGGGTGGGGAGGTACCCTCCTCACTCAGAGAAAGGGAAGGGATCCTCTGCAGGGCTGCCACTTCTGGGGCTGGGGGTGGGTGGTATTCTCACCTCCTAATTAGTCATCTTGTTAGGCAAGGACTACAGCCGGCACCAGGAAGGCTAAAGGAAGTGGGGGTGCAAGACACAGGGATGACAGTCCTGGGGCGACATCTGGGAAGAGTAGTCCAGGCAGAGGGAACAGCCAGGGCAAAGGCTGGGAGGCAGGAGGGAGTGTGGTGTGGGAGAAACAGAAGGCCTCGTGGCTGCAGGGGAGTGTGCAACAGGGCTCTTAGGACAACAGGAGGTCAGTTTCCTGGGCCAGATCCTGTAGGGCCTCACGGGCCATTGTAAGGCTCTGAGAGGAGCTGTGAGCTGCTACAAGAGTTTGAGCAGAGGACTAATAAGGTTTGATTCAAATTGGTAAAGGATCATACCAGCTGCTATGAGACATGAGATGGGGTGGAGGGAGGGCCAGAAAGGACACAGAGAGAGCACCAAGGAGGCCAGCGCTGACATCTGTGTCTTGCACCCGAGTGCTTGCGCTTGCGGCGGAGATGGTAAGAAGGTGTCAGATTCTAGATGTGGTTTGAAGGTCGAGCTGACAGGACATGCTGACGGATTGGATAAGGGATGTGAGGGGGAGAGAGAGGAATCGGAGGAGTCCAAGGTTTGGGGCTTTGACACATGGAAGAACGGAGTCACCATAAGTTGGGGCAGACAGAGGGAAGAGGAGTCTGAAGAGAAAAGGCGATGTCAAGAGTTGGGCTTCAGGCTCTTAACTCTGAGATGCCAGTAGATGCCCCGGGGGGCTGTCCAGTGTATGTAGAGTAGCATGGGGCTCCTAGGTCACAAACTGAATGAAGCAACCTCCCTAAAGTCCTCAGGGCTCAGCAGACCCTTAAGCACTCTGTCCTTCCCTTTCCCCCTGCCCGAGGCTTCCAGCAGCCAGGAGGGGCAGCACTATGCCCAGGACCCCCAGGCTCGAGGCGGGAGCAGGGCGGGTTCCAGACAGGCTGGTCCAAGCCCACATCATTTCTCATTGGGGAAACTGACTCTCAGAGCATGGCTGCTTTGGGCCCAGAGTGGGGCAAGGTAGAGCTGGTTTAAATCCCCTTCTCCTAACTCTCCGCTCATTGGAGCCGGCCCGACTGAGCCAGGGAGGCTGCTGGGGCTGCCATCTGGGCAAAAGCTAGCACAGGATCCAGCTGCTTGCTGCCCTCTGGGCCTCAGTCTCCCCTCTGTGTAATAGAACATCATTCTGGACCCCCACCCCACCAATGCCTGTGGTGGAATGCAGGGTCTGAAAGGATAAGAGGGCCAGCCCCCCAGTGGCCTCTCCTGGCCCCAACCTGAAGAGGTCCACTGCTCCTCTCCCAGGGCGAGGAAGGTCCTTCTCTGGCTCTTCATCAGCTGGTGCCAAGGGTAGGGGAGGCCTCCTGCCAGGTGAGGCCTGGCAAGGGTTAATCTGGGTGAGTTGTGTCAACTCCAGGCACAGGGAGTGGAGAGTCAGCCAGCCAGTGCAGAGGGAGGACTGGGACACCCCCTGAGCCACAGCAGCCCCACATCCACACCCCTCCCCATGCTGTTTATTCACCACAAGTACCCCCAGCTCCAGCACCCTCCTGACTCCCCACCGTCTCCCAGGTCAAACTGAGCCTCCTCTGGGCCTTGGAGAGCTCCCTCCCCTTCTCTGGCTCTTCATCAGCTGGTGCCAAGGGTAGGGGAGGCCTCCTGCCAGGTGAGGCCTGGCAAGGGTTAATCTGGGTGAGTTGTGTCAACTCCAGGCACAGGGAGTGGAGAGTCAGCCAGCCAGTGCAGAGGGAGGACTGGGACACCCCCTGAGCCACAGCAGCCCCACATCCACACCCCTCCCCATGCTGTTTATTCACCACAAGTACTCCCAGCTCCAGCACCCTCCTGACTCCCCACCGTCTCCCAGGTCAAACTGAGCCTCCTCTGGGCCTTGGAGAGCTCCCTCCCCACCCCACTCGGCTGCTTCGCTCCAGCTTCTGCTTTCTGGCTCGTCCTGCCTGGCTCCACTCAAGCATGTTCTCCAGCCCTTTAATGCCTCCTCTTCATAGCCGCCTTCCCTGGCTGCCCCAGCCAGCCCCGGCTTCCGTCTCCTCAGCAATTCTCATCGCGATGGTCCTTTGGGCCGTGAATCCACAGGCCGTGAGCTGTTGAGCCCCTGCACATTCATCTGCTCAGGGCCACTGGCCTAAGAGGCCCCATGTATGCACAGTCACCTCTCCTCCTTCCTGGTCCACAGGGTTCTCTGGGTTGAAGATGGAGGAAGCTTCTGGGACAGACACATTCATTCTTCTCTATTAATGTGTTAAGTGACTCCAGAGATGTGGATATGCTTTGTAAACTGTAAAGTGCTGTGCACAGGAGGGACGTGAGGTGACAGGTGGACTGACATGAAGTTACAGGAGAGTCCAAAGAAGGTGGCCAGTTGCTAGGACCTCAAAAGCGGGTGAGGTTTAGGAATTACAGGCACTTAAGTGACTCCAGAGATGTGGATATGCTTTGTAAACTGTAAAGTGCTGTGCACAGGAGGGATGTGAGGTGACAGGTGGACTGACATGAAGTTACAGGAGAGGCCAAAGAAGGTGGCCAGTTGCTAGGACCTCAAAAGCGGGTGAGGTTTAGGAATTACAGGCACGGGTACCTGTAAGAGCAAAGGCTTAGAGGTGAGACCAGACTTGAAAGGTGAGGTGGCCTTTCTCATTCTGCAGGAAGGATCCGGGACTGGGGGAGAGGGAAGAGAGGCACTGAGAGATGTGGGGTGGGGGACAGAGGCAGGGAGAAAATGGGGTCTTTGGTTCCAGAGTGGGTGGAGGAATGACAGAGGGGAGCTGTGAGGAGGGCTAGATATTATAGGAAGGCAATACAGGGAGGTGCTGCATTGGAAAAAGCCCCTCCTCCCTGGCTCTCCCCACAGATCGCTGAGGGCCCAGAGCCCCCCCTGGACCCCTCCCACAGCACGGAGCCTGAGATCAGCCACCTGTCTCCCTCTAATAAGGAGACCATCATGGTCACTCTGCATGGTGCTACCAACCTACCTGCCTGCAAGGATGGCTCCGAGCCATGGCCCTATGTGGTAGTGTAAGTAGCTGGGTGAGAGTGGGGCAGGGGATGTATTGAGGCTCTGAGCAGAAACCATGGGATGAATATTTGGAATATGAGCACCCCAAGGTTCAGGACTGGGACTGTGATACCTAGAGGGGAAGAGCCAAGTGTGAATCACATAGGGGCTGTGGGCTCTGCACATGGGAGGCCTGACATCTTCTTTGCTACATGGGAAGCTGCTCACCAGGGCTGTGGAAGGAAGAGTACCAAGGGGTCCAGACAGCACCCCTTCATCCCACATCCAGCTGGGCAGGGCTTGGCCACAACTGGACCTCAGCGGAGCAGGGCCCTCGCATGCAGAGGCCTGGGCTGGGCTCAGAGAGGGGTGATGGTCAGATGAAGGCAAGACTTGGACACTGCCTCTCCTGGCCTCTGGGTGCCCCATTCCACCACACCCAGCCCTAGGGTAGGGCCCTCATAACCACCCTCCCCCGTGGTCCCCACCTTTTCTTCAGTCATTTCCTATCATGGGGCCCTCCCTAGTTCTTGTTCTTTAATGCACCCCACATCCCCCTCCTGCCAGCTGTTGTCAGAGTACACACCTCTCCAGCCTTGTGTCCAAGGCCTGCCATACCATGTCTGCTGCCCACTCATGGGCCTCACTTTTCCCAGAAAGGCCAGTGGCAACACAGTCTCCATCTACTCAGACTTTGCTCTGGTTGTTGGACATTTGCTCAGTCTTTACTGTGTCTGTCCTCCCTTAGACCCTTCTGCAGACTTTTGGAGCCTCTGTAGCCTCTCCCCAAGCTATCCTACCCTTCCTCTACTCCACCAGTCATTCAGTTCCTGCCTACAGGCTTTTGCCCACATTTTCTTTTGGGGAGTGCCCACTCCAGGCCTCTCACCAACGCCTGCTGTAATTCCACCTTCGAGGCCTTGCTTGTGATGCCTCCTCCTCCCGGCAGCCACCAGAGTTGAGCTCTCTCTCCTCTGGAGCCCCACAGCAGTGGCAGCAGTGATCTGAAATACTGAACATAAATCTGGCTTATGAGTTCCCCTTCTGTACCCCAAACTGGGGCTCCCTAAGGATGGATCTCAGGTATCCTTCTCCATTTCCCCAACAATGTGGCCACCATACACCTCAGCGCAGACTTAGGGGCCTGGGCATGACTGAGGTATAAACACCTGGTTTACTATGACAACAAGCTTGGGTGCAGGGTGGGCACACACAGTGAAAGGGGGTAGATGTTGTGCTAGAGACCAATAGGTGAAACAGTGGCCTCAAAAGCCCCCTTTAAGCCAGTTCAGCTCCTCAGCCCTCCCCTCCCCCAACTCCATTTGGGTGGTGAGGGAAGGACAGGTGGCTGAGAGCGGGCTTGGCAGGGAGGCTGGTTTCTAGCTGGGAGCTCGCCTTCTCCCCTCAGTTATTTCCATAAACCAATTATCGCCGATCATCTCGGGAGATTGAGGCTCTGCCTGTCACCAATCGAGCCCGGGCGGTGGGGCGGGGAGCTGGGTGGCCGTGTTGCTCCTCGGCAGGCATCACGACCCTAGCCATCACCCCGTTGCCATGGGAACGTGCAGCTGGGAGCCTAGGCGACCCAAGCCAGAGCTCAGATGGGGCTGTGGAAAGCTGGGCACACCCCAAGTCCGCCTGCACCCTCCCAGGGGTTGCAGCAAGTTTTAGGGGTGCAAGGATGGAGGACACAGGGGAGGCGGGAGAGGTGTCACTGCACCCCTCTCTACACCGGGAGCAGGGCCTGGGTCAGGCTGCTGCCTGCGTTCCAGGGCTCCAGGCAGAGCAGCCATGGGCTGGAGGTGGTGCTAATGAGATGCAAATGAAAGGAAAAGGGACGGCTTCTGAGAATGAAGGCCCAGCTGTCAGGACCTGAAGGGGGCTTTCTGTGCTAGCACCCAACTCCGGCGGGAGCCCCAGAGGGAGGACACAGACCCTTAGAGGTCCTAGACTCTGGAAAGAATTTTATGTTCCTGCATGTCTGATTACAAAAACACAATAACAAAGCATACAATAGGCATGAGAAAGTCCACTGGGGTATTCGTTTTGTTCATAATGAATATTTCAATGCTTCTAAAAATATTTATTTATACATAATGACTTAAATGGAAGAACTGAAACTGTAAAACTCGTAGAAGAAAACATACAGAAAAAGCTCCTTTGCACTGGTCTCGACAATGATGTTTTGGATATGACACCAAAAGTGCAGGCAACAAAAGGAAAAGTAAAGAAGTGGTTTTACATCCAACTGAAAGCTTCTGCACAGCAAAGGGAACAGTCCGCAAATGAAAAGGCAACCTATGGTATGGGAGAAAATATTCACAAACCATGCATCTGATAGGGAGTCAGTGTCCAAGATGTATGAAGAACTCATACAACTCAATAGCGAAAAACAAATGACTCAATTAAAAAATGGGCAAAGGACCTTAAGAAGACATTTTTTCAAAGAAGACATACAAATAGCCAACAGGTATATGAAAAGGTGCTCAGCATCACTAATCATCAGGGAAATGCCAATCAAAACCACAGTGAGATACCACGTCACACCTGTCAGGATGGCTCTTACCAAACAGACAAGAGATAACAAGTGTTGTTGGGGGTGTGGAGCAAAGCGAACCCTCGTACACTGTTGGTGTGAATGTCAGTTAGTACAACCTTAATGTAAATTAGTACAGTGTGGAAGTTTCTCAAAAAAACTACCATATGATCCAGCAATCCCACTTCTGGATATATATCCAAAGCAAACAAAATCAGTATTTCCAAGAGATATCTGCACCCCTATGTTTACTGCAGCGTTACTGACAATAGCCAAGATATGGAATCAGCCTAAGTGTCTGTCAACAAATGAATAAAGAAAATGTGGTAGATATACAAGGGTACTTCAAAAAGTTCATGGAAAAATAGAACGAAAAGAGAATATGAATATCCCTCGTGTGTATAAAATGGAATATTATGCAGCCATAAAAAAGAGGAAATTCTGCCATTTAGAACAACGTGGGTGAACCTGGAGGACATTATGCTATGTGAAGTAAGTCAGACACAGAAAGACAAACACCATATGATCTCGCTTATACGTGGAATCTAAGTTGAACTCACAGATGCAGAGAGTAAAAGTGTGGTTGCCCGTGGATGGGGAAGTGGGAGGATGTTCATCAGAGGGTACACACTTTCGGTTCATCTCGCTTATACGTGGAATCTAAGTTGAACTCACAGATGCAGAGAGTAAAAGTGTGGTTGCCTGTGGATGGGGAAGTGGGAGGATGTTCATCAGAGGGTACACACTTTCGGTTCGAAGGTGAATAAGTCCCAGTGTACAGCATGGTGACTGTGCCAACACTACTGTACTGCATACTCGAAATTTGATTGAGAGTGGATCTTAAGTGTTCTCACCAAAAAAAGTGGTGACTATGTGATGGGTTTCTTAATTAACGTGATTATGATAGTCAATTCACAATGTATACACATACCAAAGCATTATATTGTATACTTTAAATACATACAATTTTATTTGTCAATTATACCTCAATTATGCTAATATATATATGTATGTACGTGTGTACATAATTCCACACTCTTTCTAAACATTTTTTCTCATCTCTTTTCTGGTGCCCTGAGCTTAGTCTCCTGGCTTGGTTTCCTGCTTTCCACCAACCCTGTGGTCTCACCTCAGCCTGGGGGTGGGACCCTGGGGACCCCTGTCTCAGCCTGGTTCTGTCCTCTCTCTGGATCTGTCGCATCCCCAGCAAGCAGGCCTGTAGTTTGGGGGTGGGGGAAGCACAGTCCTGAGAGTGCCCAAAAGCTGTTCACTCATTCACCCCTCTAGGAGCTGAAGAGGCTCAGGCCCAAGGATGGTGCCTCCCTTGTTTGGGGTATGGCCACCTTCAGCCCTGTGGATGGTGCCTCCCTTGTTTGGGGTATGGCCACCTTTAGCCCTGCGTAGGCACCAACCAGTAATAGGGCGCCTCCTCCAGTGGAAACTATTCCAGACCAGCAGGTCCACTTGGTTCTTCTTGTGGTTCTGCCTCTCTCCATGTAAGCCACTGATCTGCCTCCAATCTGAAACCCACTTCCCCAATGAAATCACTTTCTCTGCAGTTGCCAGTGACCATCATGCCTGACCCTACGTACAACAGGCATCTCATCGGGCATGAACTTGGTTCTTCTTGTGGTTCTGCCTCTCTCCATGTAAGCCACTGATCTGCCTCCAATCTGACCCACTTCCCCAATGAAATCACTTTCTCTGCAGTCGCCAGTGACCATCATGCCTGACCCTACGTACAACAGGCATCTCATCAGGCATGGCCTCTCAGTGGCATAGCCCCTGTGACCACTCCCTCTCTTTGAAGTCCATTCTCCTCCAGGATACCCCACTCTCTTATTTTCCTCTAGGCCACACCTCTTTATCTCTTTGACAGGCTTGTCTCAGGTTCCGACCCTAGGTCATGTTTTTTCTCTAAACTCTCTGTCCGTGTGATCTCATCCCCATCCTGGCGTCAGTCGCACATTCTTTCACCCCCATCCGATCTATCACCATGTCGTGTCAATGTCTCTCCTGTCTCTTGAATTTGGCTGCTTCTCTCCACCAGCTCCACCACCCACTGAGACTATTGCACTATTTTTCCAACCACACTGGTACATCTAACCTGGCCCTCCTGCAAGCCCCCTTCAAAGGCAGGTTACCATTTGGTGCTGTGATAGCATGATACCAGAGGAACCCAGTGGCTTTCCATTGTTCCCAGGGTAAAAAGGATTCCAGGCCCACATGGCTGGGTCTTTGCCGGCCCCTACAGCTCCCCAGCAGCATGACCCCCACCTCCCTCTCTTTGCTCCAGCCACACTGGACATCTCTCAGTTTTCTGAACATACCCCGTTCCCTCCCACCCTAGGCCTTTGCACTCTCCCTCCCCCAGAACCTACTCCCTTCCTCTCTTCGGATCTCAGCTCAGTCATCACCTCCTCAAGAAAGTCCTCCCTGAGCTCCTAAACCAGGCCAAATACCCCCACATTACATGTTTTCATG